GGGGGGGGGGGGAGTTCTTTGCTTTCACCTAAATTGAAGGGGGACCCAACTGAGTTATCAGCTGACCAGTTATTAAAAGTAATGTCTGCTGATAGATCCCCGTGAGGCTTTGGTGTACTGTCAACATTTCAGAGCAGAGAGATGCCCACCTGTCACAGACTGTTCACCTCTGTCTTCTCGGGTCAGCACCTCCATAACAGAAGAGAAAACTAGGAACAGATTTGCCAGTGAACCTGGGCTAATTTTAGCAATAAGTAGAAGTGTACATGAACTGTGTCACTCGGGTGCATTTTTTCAGTAAAAGTTATCTTTTGATGTTTGACAGTTAGTTGTCAAAATGTGTAATATATTTGTTTTGCCCAGTTATGTACTAGCTAATAACAATCCAGAAGTTTTGTTTTTTAAACATTCTCTTTAGAATCTGTGACTTTTTCACAGGAAATTTTTAAAAGTTCAATTTAAGTACATATATTTTTTGTTAGACATTTATGAGAAAAGATTAACAAGAGACTTTAGATCATGAAAATAAATTGCACTGGTGTAAGTGTGTGGGGGAAGGAGTGGGGTGAGGCAGGGAGTGATTGGTCTGAGGTGGGGGTGGCTCTGGCAGCCTGTGGGGAGCCTGCAGGGTAGCTGCAGAAGGGTTTCTTCCTGTGAGGGCTGTGGCTACAGGGTCAGGTTGGGCCACTGGTGAAGGGTAAATCCAGACATCCCATATAAAGACGGTTGAGCACACCAGTGGAGAATTTCCTGATGTTTGGTTTACAGCCATTTAAAATTCTTTTTAGGTTAAGCTTGTCTTCTGGCCTGTGCAAGCTCCTCGCTGTGCAGACTCTGAGTCCTCTGTGTTACAATTCTTGCAGCAAATGATGGGCCTCAGTCCCCGTTCCATCACATCCTGCCCAAGTGCAAGCTGGCCAGGGACCTCAAGGACGCTTACGACAGGTGAGACGGTGGCCTGCTTCCCATGGGCCTCCCCGGGCTGGTGCCGTTTCCCTGCTGTGCCTGAGATGGGGGGAGGCTGGGGAGGAGCCCCGCTGGGACAGTCACCTCCAGACTTGTCTTTAGCCAGAAAATGAACCTGAAGAAAGCTGAGCATGGGACCTGAAATGCACGGTGACGCTGACTGAGTGCAACACTGTGCCAAGTTCCAGGCCCACCTTCATTAGGCGCGGTCACTGTTGCCACCTCACCCACGAGGAGACTGAGGCTCAGAGGCTGGGGCTGGGGTTGGCTCTGCTCCCCTCGCACCAGGGTCGTGGGGGTTTGGGACCCTGAGTGTGTGAGGGCAGCAGGCGTTGGAGACACTGCTCATATTAGTGGCTCAGCACCAACTCTCTTAAATGTGGACCAGCAAGGCACTTCTCTTCTTTTTTTTTTTTTTTTTTTTTTTTTTTTTTTTT